GAACACTGCTGCATGCATTAAAACCATCAGAGTAAATCTAAGATTACTCTCTTCTGGGCAATTTCAGTCATTAATGAATCACACAAGATGTATCCTAGAGAAGAAAAGATTTGAAACCCTGGTTCTGGTTAATTTGTACTTTTTCTAAAGCACAAACACACTTCCATATATTTCATAACATAATTGCCAGTAAGTTTCATACAAATCCCTTTTTCTGCTTTTCACCGTACTATACTTCAACTTGACATTTTCATCAAGGTTTGTGACTCCTCTCTCATAAAAAACACTAAGCTACTAACAGGAATTCTTGCATTTGCGTTTCTACTAAATGTGCCATTAGTAATATTTGAGTTTTTAGCTAAACTGTTCATGAAGACTTTAAGATGGAACAGAGAAAATTAAACCAGACAGTGAAGGCAGTGAATTCCCAAACAGGATAAACTTTCTAGAAATGGTTCCTGTCTCAGCATCAGTTTAGATATTCTTAACACAAAAAAAACTTCAAAACAACTCAAAACAACTACCCTACAGGCAGGATAGCCAACTTCCTAGGTGCAAGCGAGAAAAAAAAAAAGAAAAGAAAAAAAAGGAAGGAAGGAAATAGAACAATGTCTTTTGTTTTGTTAAATGGTTCAGGCAATTTGTGAGTCTTGGCATCATGTTCTGAAATCAGTATTGATGTGTTAAATACAGCAAACAAGAAGAAAGCAATTGTGGTTCACTGAAACAGGCTCTTTTCCTTCTGGACAAGACATGTTTGAACATAATTAGAAGAATGGGGGGACAGGTGGATGAGATATTTGTTGAACAGAAACCAGGCACAGGAGAGCAGTATTGCCTGAGCTACATGGCTCAGCTTTAGTCTAGAATCCTTAAAGCACTGTAGCATTGCCTTCTATTTCAGTGTTTTGATTGACTCCCTAAAACAAGAGGTCCAACAGACAGACACAGGTCTCCGTGACAAACCCATGGTGAAAGCCAGAGTCTTCTTGTACAAAATTGCCCAGAGTTTTTGGATTCCCCAGCTCAGAAACACTGTGACCAGCAGGGCTAGGGAGGTGATCGTCCCCCTGTACTCGGCTCTGGTGAGGCCGCACCTCGAGTACTGTGTTCAGTTCTGGGCCCCTCGCTACAAGAAGGACATCGAGGTGCTTGAGCGGGTCCAGAGAAGGGCGACGAAGCTGGTGAGGGGCCTGGAGAGCAAGTCCTATGAGGAGCGGCTGAAGGAGCTGGGCTTGTTCAGCCTAGAGAAAAGGGGCTCAGGGGTGACCTTATCACTCTGTATAAGTATATTAAAGGAGGCTCTAGCGAGATGGGGGTTGGCCTGTTCCCCATGTGCCTGGTGACAGGACGAGGGGGAATGGGCTAAAGTTGCGCCAGGGGAGTTTTAGGTTAGATGTTAGGAAGAATTTCTTTACTGAAAGGGTTGTTAGACATTGGAACAGGCTGCCAGGGAGGTGGTTGAGTCACCATCCCTGGAAGTCTTCAAAAGACGTTTAGATGTAGAACTTAGGGATATGGTTTAGTGGGATGCCCCATCCCTTGAGCTGTTCAGGACCAGGGTGGATGAGGCCCTGGGCAATCTGATCTAGTGGGTGGCATCCCTGTACATGGCAGGGGGGTTGGAACTGGATGCCCTTTAAGGTCCCTTCCAACCCAAACCATTCTATGCATTAGCTACACTCCAAATGACACTATCAGCTGCACCTAGAAGTACACAACAACTGAACTGAACTTCTGTCAAGATGCATGTAAACTAGTGTGCATTTAAACCACTGATAGTTGCTTTGCCAGGTGCCAGAGAACAGCCCGTTTGAAAAGCAGAGTGGGTGGCTCCAGAAACTGAACCCAGTCTCACAGAGGTTTCGTGTAACAGGAATGCATTTCTCTTTGCTTCAAAGCAGGATTTGAAAGAACCTGTACAAGCAGGATAGTGGTTCTGCTGACAATGTAATGACTCTTAACCTGAATGAACAATTTGCACATTGAGAGTAACGCACCAACAGCAACAGACCCTTATGAACCTCCAAGAGTCTCAGTGTCGAGGATTCAAAAACTGGTAACAAGCAAAGTGCTTGCTCTGAAGATCGCAGTGACTATCACAGATTTTGCAACATGAGAGCCCATCTGTACCAGAATTGCACATGCGATCCTCACAAGCTTTTATGTGTCAGAAAGCAGGGCTTCAAGATCACTCCAGCAGAAGGTGCAGAGACAGGTCTTCTAGCAGATGGATTTATCTTCAGTGCATTCATGGTTTGCCCTTAGCAGCAGTAACTTAAGACCCCTTCTAGATACTTCCAGAAGGATCCTTCCAAAAGATTGTTTGCCAGCTGCGTGCAGACTTTTGAGCTGCTCTTCAAATATGGTGGGAGAAGAGAAAAATAAATGAGGAAGAATCAAAAGGTGTTTTTTATTTGTAGTTCTTTGATTTTAAATAGTTTTATATTTTAAGTAATACTTATTTTTATTCTACCTCTCTATCTTAAAAGATATATATATATAAAGATAAAGATAAAGATAAAGATAAAGATAAAGATAAAGATAAAGATAAAGATAAAGATAAAGATAAAGATAAAGATAAAGATAAAGATAAAGATAAAGATAAAGATAAAGATAAAGATAAAGATAAAGATAAAGATATCTTTTATATATATATATATTTGCTACTCACGTCAATTTGGAGTTTCAGGTCAAAAATTCTATCCAAAGTGCACAGTTTTAGGTAACAGAATCCAGGCAGAGAAGCTCTCAGTAAATGTCTTTCTGGTTCCTACAGTACTTCCAGTGCTTTATAATTAGAAACATCTCAAACAATGGGACTCAGCAGTTACAGCAAGTAATTCTACTGCTGTTTTTCTTTCTTTACATCTAATGTAGAGATAATTATCTCTTCTCCAATTCTCAAAGGTTTTTAAAGTTATTTAATTTGCTCTGCAAAATGCTGGGATTGCTTTTGAAGATGAGGCATTCAGTGTAACCCACAGCCATTTTGTTCTTTGTTCACTTTTTGAAGGTGTTTCTCACAGCCCTTTGTCCTCCTCGACAGATCCTGACAGTTTTATAGGTGAGGATGGCAAAAGGAAACTAGTGTCAAATGCTATAGCTGCACTGGTGGCTGGCTATACAAATGCTTTCTGACAGTTAGTAGGGTTAGATTCAACAAAGTTCCTCATGTTTTTATACTGCAGGAATTTAAGCATCCTCCTAGAACCAAAATTCATAGTTTGCCACTCTTTTCAGATGACAGCCTTATAATTAATGGCAATTTTATTTTAAACCTATAATCTTGATATTTCAATCACCACTTGAGTAAACAGTGATGATTAGAACTGAAGCATAAAGTGTCTGTGGGAGATATCTGCTACATAGCACATGAAAAATTAGTCGCACAGTTTCCACTAATTTGGAATTCTACATATTTATCTCCATTTTCACCCCAGTTTAAGAAAACCAAGCCTGTGGGAAAAATAGTTATTTTTTTCAATAAATCTTTATAAACACTGCATTTACCACACACACTTTCCCTTTTCCCTAGAAATCTGGAAACTACCAGGATTAACCCTTAAGAGTTGTGTTTGTTTTTTTTTTTTGCAATTTTTAAATTCTTAAAGCTGTTTGATTGAAGCATTAGCTGTTGGTATGAATGACTGCTCAGTCAATACTGTGGTAGAAGCAAGATACAAAGCATCTCATAAAAAGCCATCTGCTTCAGTAAAGTCATTCAGAGAAAAGACGGCACTTGCAAATTATGTGGACGTACTCCACGCTTCCTGAATGATTTCTAAAAGCCCTCTGCAAACTTGAAATATCCCTTATCTTTGAGGATATTTTCTCGCATTTAAGCTGCAACATCTCTCACTTCTCTTTTCCTTCCATCCTCTCCCTAGATTACTCCAATCTACCAGTAATCCCTCTCCGGATAGCCTCTTAGCTCCTACAATTAGCATTACTTTATATTATTTATAAAATTCCAGTGTGAGTAGAGGAAGGGAACAGGTGGAAACAATGGAGATCACCAGCTGTGAAGAAGTCCTCATTGAATATCTACTCAAGTTTTCTTTGTTGTCTATCCTGTGATCACACAAAAAATAACAGCAGTCACACCTGCACGACTCCTTTGTTCATATCACACAAACACACTGTATGCTCACATTCAGGGGCAGTTCTAAGGAAAAAATAAGTATCACACTATGGCAATACCAAAATATAAAGCACCCTCCTATGGGAGACACAAGGCTCTAGTGCTGGAAAAGCTTCTGTATTTATTAATGGTTTCCTTCTGAATACTTTAGTTTCCCTACCTCTAACAAAATCCAGGAACATCCTTGTCCCCTCCAACCCCTTAAATTTATTTATTTTTTACATTTACATTCTGATGGGAATACTTAACACACAGTGAGTGGGATTCATTCTAAATTAAGACGAATACATACTTGTGTCTACAGGCATAGCAAATGTCTAAGTTCCCATTTTGCTCAAAACAACTTGAGAGCTCATCCTAGAACAGGCACCTAACAACCAGGCAGCATTCCCCAGGCTCCATGGATTATATGTATACAATCCTCATGTACTGTTATGTGAGTGTAGTTACGTACGTGCAGACACTGCACTGCGGTATCAGAGACTCAAACTAAAAATTCCACTACCATGTCTACTTCAAGTTACTCTAAAAGATGGACCGAAACCCCAAAAACCTAAGACAGACAATGAAATTAATTACTTATGGGAAATTCTATGAAGAGAGATTAGAGATATTTCGACTGGATGCGGATACCAACAAGATGATGCATGGAACAACCACTGAGCAATCTTATCTAGTGGGAGGTGTCCCTGCCCATGGTGGGGGGGTGGAATTAGATGGTTTTTAAGGTCCCTTCAAACTCAAACCATTCTGTGATTCTATGAACAAAGCAAAGTGATAAATACTCACAAAATGCAACTTGGTCCTACTTGCTGGGTATGCCAGGGACATACCACTCCTCTCTTCTTTACTCATTTTCTGCTTTATTTTTAAAATACAAATTTGTAACTGTCTACCGAGTGACAGAGATGATCTGAAGCAAACCAACATATGTAATCTAGGTGTACTAAAAATTTTTAAAAATTATAATCATTACTTTCTGAATATCTACATTACATCCTCATGTAGCAAGAAAGACAGAACATTTTTCTCTCATACTTTCTCTAAATTTGTCTTAATCTGCCTTCTTAACAGTTCTTATAAAGTCCTGTACTCAGTAGTAGACTAGAAGAAATTGCATGCATGAGCAAAAATTATTCAAATGCATTCATCGGCCATATCACACACACACACACAAAAAGAACAACTACAAGAATAATTTGTAAGAAGTACCTTTCAGAACCCAATAAGACAATATTTTAAAAAGCATAAAAGCAGAACAGTATTACATTATACTGAAACGGTACATAAAAGATGGAAGATGTTTTAAACTTACCCTATTGACACTGCTGTTTCTTAAAATAATCTGAATTAGATTTTTCTTAAATTCTTCCAGCTTCTTGAAACATTTCTTCAGAACATGATTAGATAATTTAGTATCAGTTATTAATCTGATCAAAACACAAACTGCCTCAGTAAGAACATTTGAAACGGGAAATTTAGGACTGTTGTAAAAAGCAGTCAGTCCATCAAGCAACTGAGACACTGAATTGCATATGGTAAAAGAATCATTCTCAAGCTCCGTAAAGTCTGCTTGCAGAATTCCTCCTTCTGACAGTTTTCTTATTTCAAGCAGATGTTGAAAAAACTGTACTGGAGCAGTCAGCGATTCATCCTTGCTAGCACAGCAAAGATTCAATGGGGGAACTATTTCCAACCAACTTTTAGATGCGTCAATATTATGCTCAGATTGGTGAAAATCAGAAACAGTGCCTAAAGAATCGAATGCGCAGTCATTAGACACATCACATCCAGAGTCTTCTAACTGGCTTGAGTAACTCACAGGATTTATACATTCCTGATCCAGAAGAGTTTCAGCAAAGGCACCTTGTTTACCTGAAATACAAATGTGCACGTTACATCTATGTGACACTTGTTTACAAAAAATGTCTTACTTCCTTCCTCCTTTTGCTTCCATGCAAAAATCACATCATACACAGGATGTTCTTGCTGCTGAGAGCTTCCCATGACTGGAGTTTAGCTGCTGTGGAAGGTGATGTTTTTAAAGTAAAGTCAAAACTTTTAGAAGGTAACGTATTTGTGGACCAGATGTTTTATGCAGATAGTAGTATGAACAGCATTTCTTTTAAAATTTCCTGCTGGTTTAAAGTTTTCACATGGACAATTTAAGTGGACATCACACAGACAATTTAGTGAGCATCTGTACTACCATTAATTCCCAGGGAAGGAAATGTATGTAAATTTCTGCCTCCTAAAACACTTATCACTACTTTCATTATCAAGAACTCAGATTGCTTTTAGAAAACTGTAAAGGTCTGTTACTGTAACTGCATCAAATACGATTTTCTCCTCTATCCATACTCTTTTTCCCCAGGCCAGGTAAGGAATTCTAACAGAGCCAAAGTTGAACAGAGCATTACATTTGAGCTTTTTATTATTTAATGAAGAAAAATACTCAAAATCAAAAATCTCTTGAGTCATTGCCTATCTTATGCTACCTACTTCAGAAATACACAAACTATATTACAGGTGGTACATTTTATATTTGCACTATTACGAGATTATTTTCATGTAACAGCACACAAGCTCCATCATCCTGTTTCATGGTGGATACATTTAAGTTAGTGCCTCAGGGCATAAGAACAGATGACAACAGACTCCCATGTGTTACATACTGCCTGTGGCAAAAGATTATGGTCAAAACAGTCAAAAGACAGTGGAAGATCAACACATCTCAGTGCCATGAAGCAAGGTTAGAGCCCCATGAGCCCAACCCCAGGCTGTGCCCCACTTAGTGTGCCACAGTCACACACTGCTTGCCCACTCATTCTTAAAAAAACATGTATATAACAATCATATTTTCCATAAGGACCCAAAGCAATACAATACACCTCAGTGTCTGTTTGCAAGTGAATAAGAAAAAATATAGATGGTTTGGCGTAATGGCTAATAAATGTCATAAAACCTATATTCCATGCAAGTTAAAACAACGACAGCAATTTAAGACTATTTTTAAAAGTTCGTACAGATTCCATTAAATACACATTTTCATATTGAATTCTGACCATTACTTCAGTCACTGAAAACATACTTTGTTACTGAGTTTTAATCTCAGTAGCACTAGCCTCACTGGATGGAAGCATGATTTATTTTTATTTTATAGAATAGAGTAGTTCAGCTGGAAGGGACCTTCAAAAGATCATCTAGTGCAACTCCCTGTCCACTTCAGGATCAACCAGAAGTTAAAGCATATTATTGAGGGCATTGCCAAATGTCTTGAACAGTAACAGGCATGGGGCATCAACCACCTCTCTAGGAAGCCTATTCCAGTGTTTGACCCCCTCAGAGTATAGATTTTTTTCTTTTCTTATATCTAGCCTGAATGTTTTTAGTTAGTTTCATGACTTTAACATTCAGACACAATAAAAATTGAGCAGGACTGGTACCAACTGAATCACAATGAAAGAGATAACTGCAGGGAAATCAACTGATATTTCCAGGAAGTAGGAGAAGCAGGGCTTCTAAGGCCAAACTAGCATCTTAGATATTAACACAGTTCCCAGATGCCCTGCAAATCAAACCTGGAAAGCAAGCAAACAAGAAAAGCACATTTGCCTTGGTCCGACTAACAAAAACAGGCATCAATCTTTCATATCTTCTCTCCCTAGTGCTTTGAGCAAAAGATGCTAAAGAAAAAAAAAAAAAAGTAACAACCAAAAATTGTTTTTGCTATTACTTAAGAAAAATAAGCACTTTTAAGGAATCCATCTACTCCTGTATCACTACATGGATACTTTGTTAGTTCTTCACGCCATGGGACAGTGTGAAAATTGCTCATGGGGATGTAAGTAACTCTGGGAGTCAAAAGAAGTAAAGCACAGAAGTACGTGCAAATCCCATGTGCGTGTTTGTTGATTATCTTGAAGCTCCCACCATAAAGATATTCAAAAACTGCATGGGCAGCTTGTTCTAGGTGTCCCTACTTGAGCAGCAAGAGTTGGACCACTTGATCTCCAGAGGTCCCTCCCAACCTCAACCATTCTGTGATTTTGGAAAAAAAACAAAAAAAAAAAACAAACAAAAAAAAAAAAAAAAAAAAAAAAACAGAAGAAAGGAATGGTACAGAAATATCTGTAAGAACCAAACTCAAAACAATCCCAAAATCAGAAGTAGTAGACAAAATACTCCTACCAGCAGGAGACAGTATTGCATTTGTGCTTAGGTTCCTCTTTGCCAAGATACCAAACACCTCTCCCAGGATCAGCTTCCAGAAAACCCTGTTACAGTTATTCCCCAATAGCAACATATTTCCAGTTGAATTTGTAATACAAAATGCTTTTAAAATGTTCAATGATTTATATGTTCTAGTCACATGGAGAGGAAGGAAAAGCTATCTTTTAATAAATAAACAATTCACCCAACAGGAAATATTCATGACTTCTCTCAAAATATCTGAAACCAGCTTGTTATTTACTTCTTGAAAGGATGTAAACTAATCACTATGTACATACCTATTATTTAAATGAGAACGTCTTGATGTTCACACCATATGGTTATCAAATACAAAAAGAAGGAACAGTATTAAGCCTGTCTTACACTAACTTCAATGGCAATTTCAAGTAAAATTGAATATAAAAATACTAAAACAAGAAATAAAAAAAAGATTGCATGTTATACACTAATATCAACATTTCACAATACCTTTATAAAGGTAATGATATTTGTTCATGAGTAATCTTACAGGCTGTGTAAAAATGTTGCTCTGTAAAAATTGGATTCATTAAACATTTAAACTCTTAATTCCCATTTAGGACTTCAGCTTCTCAGCATATTAAGATTCTGAGCTGAAAATCACAACTCTGTGCTCACCAAACAAAGCAAGAGGCAGTCACAAAAAAATTACTGGGGTGCAAAGTCTGAAGCACTGGCATCCCTCTACACAAATCTACCACTGTGGAAAGAGCCTGGCCTGAAACATCAGCAGTTGCTTGAGGAACAAGGGAGTGACTTGTATACTGCACACAGTATGTAAACAAGGTTGTAGGTGCCCCTTTGAAACACGTCACTGCTGTACTAGAAGGCAGAGAGACTTTTATTATGGGAGAGAGATGCTAATCAGTTTGAGAAAATGGAGTCTTCAGGTACTCTTGATGCAGGAGAGCTCTGACAATCATAGCCCACCCCACTTCCGAAATGAATTCTGTCACTTCTGACTAGTCACCTTAACACAAACACCAAAGCTCAGTTCACGGACAAGAAAAGGAGGAGGAGCAGCCTGTTGCTTCATCGGTACAGGAAAATCATTTGTTTCCAGAGTGCCTGCTGTCAGCACTATGAACATAAGGATTCTCAGAGCTGTGCAAAGACAAGGGAACAAATGTTCATGGTCCTACCAATGCAAAATAAGCAAGGCAGTACCTGTAGCATAGGTGAGTGGGACGCGTGGTGATGGAAGATACTTTCTCAGACACTCGCACCAGCTGCTGCAGACTGGACAGAGTTTGAATGAGGAAGGCAACATGTTGCTGTACATGTGGTTCAAAATTTAAGAAATGAAGACAGGTCCCCAGCTGATGAGATTGTTGTGGATTCACAAGAGTGCCTGCAAGCCTTTTGCAGAGCTTAATATACCTGCAGTTATACTATCGACAAGGATTCCAATACAGAAAACAGTCTTAGAGGTGGCAGATGTAAGAAACAAATTAAGATACTATTTGAAGAAAAAAAAAAAAAGTAGTCCATTTTCAATCATTTGGCATTGTTTGTATTCCCCCACTTTGTGAGCCCACACAGATTAACACAAAGGTCTCTTAAAACTCAATTACCATTGATGGGCTCAGTTCCACTTTTTTTTTTTAAAGAGTCAATTAAAAATGAGACAATAATATTCACAATCTTAGGAACTTCTTTAGTGATACTACTTTCCAAGTAGATATTCAGTCAATAAGTTCTAAAAGGAGAGGAAAACATACATGAAATGATTCGTGTTTCTTCCAATTCTGTTCACCTCTCCACCTCTACATTTTTCAGGACTCTGTTGTTTTTCCTTTAATCTTAATCGATAGATTTGTTGTAGGTGCACCTTCCATGAACAATGAATCAAGTCTGAGTTCCTCTTCTCACACGTATTAATGGTTTTCTTCACTTTTTCTTCATAACCTTGTTTGTGTGAGCCTGTCTCTATAACATCAATAACAAAGCTGTTTGAGAAAAACACCTGTCTGTTCTCCCTCTTAAAAGTCTGTTTAGCACACTATTGCTGTCCTGATCTAGAATGAAGGCATACTTCTGTATGTATCAAAGCAAACAAATTTTGCCCAGGTTTCTCACATATTCAGGTTATTATTTGAACATTTTGAAATCAAAATTAAAAATAATAAAGAGCTTCCTTTCTCCAAAGGAACAATTATTAGGTCTGCATCCAACACCTTACTTCTGCATTTCTGTGGATTTTTATACCCAGCTTGGAAAAGAAAGCTCTTCTTTTAAAGGCTGAAGTACTTCTTGCTGCACACTTTGTCCCTTGTAGGAATAATTTCACTGAATTGAACACAGGCCTGAGTAAAATTCCCAAATTAATTTGGTACCAGGATTTAAATGTTTCTCAGAAAGCCAAGAAGCACGTATTTCAATTTGTTATGGTTTTTACTTACACAAAGAATCAGAACATTTAGAACTCAGTAATAATTGAGAAGGATTTTGAGGATATAAATGTTAATTTTAGGAGATGTCTGTGGAAGACGCATAGATCTTCTGCAGTTCAAGTCAAACAGAGAATACTTGTGACAATGACAAGGAAGGATTTATCATCAGGTGATTAAATCAATTGAGACTTGGCGCAATTAACGTTCATCAAGTAGCTCTTAATGCAAATG